CTGAAGGTTAAATCGAAAATGTCGTTTTTCTCGGAAAGACAAAGCTATTTCAAGGAAAAAACTACAGCCTGTTTGCACTCTTGCTAGGGGCTAGCTATAAGCAAAAGACGAGTAAATTTCAATTTTCTAGCCTTGCCGAAGAAATTTGATTTTGTTTGATTTTGTGGGAATTTGCTCTTAAATGTTTTCCCTTAACAGACACCTGCTTTGCATACAACATTAACTCTAACTGTGATATTGTATAAAACCAGTATAAACCAGTATAAAACCAGTCATTCTTCGCGGCTCATGAAATTTTGAAAAGTTCATGAGGCAGAAAGTACCGGAGGAGCGACTCCTTTTAAATACCAAAACAAGTCCTTGAAAGTCGGAAAAAACATACAAATAATAACGTAAAATGTATTTTATTAGATATGCGTCCTCCTAAAAAGGCAAAAAATGTATTTCACGTCTTTTAAGACGTTTATTACTCATACAACTTTGAACAACTGTACATGTGTTAGTTGATTTACCTGTAGTGTAGCAGTAAACCACCTTATAAATGTGTTTCAGTATGTTTAATGAAACGCTTACAACTTGAATATTCTAGCGGCGATTCTGGTCAAAAGCGGGTAATTAGTGCAAAAGATATTCATTTTTTTCTCGAGTATTTCAAAACAGGAAGAAACGTACTGATTATTCTTGCTATTCTTTTTTTTTTTTTTCCGTGAAAGTTAATTCGAATTACATTCTGGGAAACAACCTCAGCAGGCATGGTGTACACGTGTAAACAAGCCCAATTCAGCTGCTTGGTTCGATCGAAGCATATTTAGGGGATGCAATTTTCCGCGGTTATAGCTGATAAATTAGCAATTATCAGAGACCATAGAACCAAGGTTTTTTGACAATTCGGGCTTTAGGACTGTAAGGGATTGCAGACACACAACCTAGCAGAACACATCTACCCTGATATCTACCAAATTCAATGGTATTAATTCTGTTTCTGGTAGGAATTATGTTTCTGGTTATTCCAGGAATGTAATTATGACTCAGTTACGCCCATAGTGCAAAATTTCAATTAATTTTTGATCTAAACCTAGATCGGGATGTTTTGGGAAAATTCCCATAAGTTGAATTTCAAATGTTAAGTAAAAGAATTGAAGCTTCTAAAAAACATGCAGAACATTAAGTACTGTAGCCAGAAGCTTTAATGTCCACTTGTATAGATAAAGTACACATCGAATTATATGTTGTTCTAGCCAGCGATAATGCATTTTGCTTTTTGTTAGTCAGTTTTTGGAGTCCACATACTCAGCCGGCTGTTTGAAAGGTAAATTAGGCCGAGCATTGTTATGTACTATGGGAATTCTCAAACGAACTTTTTTAAAATTAATTTGAGGGACAGAAAACGTTGATCACTCTTACTGAGGAATAAATCTAAAAGGTGTGAGAACTGACCATTAAACAAATAAAAGAAATTTTTGCAGTGCTTTTAATTTAATTTATCAAATCTCACTTTCCTGATTTACATGACAATATATGGAACAAAAGATGCAACGAACAAAAAAGTTAATTTCCGCTGAGCAATAATGGGAGAAAATAGAGTTTCCAAAAACCAAATAAATGGTAATAGTTTTAATACAGTTCAGAGCAATTTATCTGACCCCGCGAGATAAAATTAATATTGAAGTTATCATTATTTTAATTACAACGGACGTTTCCCACCAGTTCGAAACACAATATTACAGGCTTTAAGCGTTCTTATTAGGTTTGACATTAACTCTGCAAGGGATGTTCAAAGTCAGAATTCTCGCATGGCCTAGCAGAGGCTGCTCCTTGTCGGAATTTAAACTAAGAAATCTTAATGTTCGATAATATAACAGCGTAAACCACGTATTGAACGGCTGCCTCGCAAATGCATCATGAGTTCACTCATGTACTATATCAAACACGAAAGACCGTGTTTGATCACATTTCCAAACAATGAAAAGAAAGTTGAAAATACGTCGCGCAGCGGAGCATGTTTGACCAACACTATCTGCAGTGTTTAATATACCTCCTCAATAGAAAGTAAAACTAAGAAGAAAACGAAGAGTTAAAGTCGTTAAAATCTATGCTAATTAAGATCAGATATCCAAACACCATCACGGTCATGACGTCCTTTGATTAAACTACATCAATTGTTAATGATTTGAAAAGACAATTGCGCACGTTCAATTAATAACAGCACTGTTTATCATATACTGTAGGCAAAGCTAAACAAAAGACTTGCTGTCGCTACTTCATCTGGCGTAGCAGTGTTATTTCAGGACAATTTCCGCTGCCAGTGTACGTCGTTGTCAAGTTCTGTAATAGGAGGTAAATTGTGGCATAAGCTGACGTGTTTCCGATGGAGAGGCGCACTCAAATGTCTGTGGATCTCCGTACCATTCGTTAAGGTAATTATTTTCGCGCGACTGACGACATCAAGACAAACAATTATCCCGCCTTCGGTAGCACGTAAAAAGACCGAAGTTATTAAGTGAACACACCAGAAGAATACTCATTCAGGAGAGTAAGAAGGTAACGGAAAAAGAAACTGGACATAATTAAAAACAATGTCGGAAAACGTAAATACAGTGATGAATGGATCACAGCCATCGACCTGTTTCAACAATCCTACAGTAGAAAAAATCGGAAAAACGTTTTTTTACTGCTCGATTTTTCTTGTTTCGCTGGCTGGGAACACGGTAATCGGAATAATTGTATACAAGACGAAAACCATGAGAAAACCTATCAACTTTTTAATCGTAAGCATGGCCATCTCCGATCTGCTGTACCCGATTTTCTTGATCCCTATGTTGATGCAAGGGCTCTATATCAAGGACGCTTGGCTGATTGGTGGTCCTCTTGGCCAGGCCTTATGTAAGCTGGTTTTCTTCTTAACACATGCCTCCGGACTTGTGTCTGTTCTAAGCATGGTTCTGATAGCAGTGGATCGATTTGGAGCTGTGGTATTTCCTATCCGTTCTCCGCCCATCAGTTCAAAACTGTGCCCGTTCTTCATTCTCACCACTTGGATCATCGCGATGGCTGTAGGCTCCCCATATCTCTTCGTCATGAAACTTGTTGAATATCCAGGGAGATTGGAATGCAAGATGCTATGGAACGAAGTCTTTGGAGAGACCTTCTCTTTTAATAATTACTTCGTGGCATTTTCGGTCGTATTCATTTTTATCCCGTTAGTGTTGATAGCCATACTATACATTATCATCTTTTTAAAGCTCAAGTCGCGGAAGATTCCAGGCGAGCAATCGGCCAACACTGAAGCTGAGCAACGCCGGCAAAGGGAACGAAACGTGTTAAAGATGGCCATTGCTATTGTGTTGGGGTTTGCAGTTTGCTGGTTGCCCTTCATTATCATGTATTTACTCGTCTTCTTTGCATCGGATATCGTGATGTCTTGTGGCTTCCAATATTTTAACTCTTCTGCTTTTTTAATGCTCAGCGCAAATTGTGCCATAAATCCTTGTATCTGTTTTATTTTCAGTAGCAATTATCGTGAAGGACTTAAGACTCTCCTTAGATAAATGTCATTTGAACGGTGTATTAACCTTCTGTAGAGTCTGTCGAGAGGTTCAGTGGATCTAAAACTTATAAAACACGTTAATTTAAAACTGCTTTGTATTGTGCACCATAATGCCTTTAATAAACTTTACAGATGGGTTGGATACTGGCTGGGTAAGTTATCATCACTTTGGAGTTATGAGAAGTTTTCCGTCGCGTGGAAAACCATTCAAATAACATATTATTTCAATAATGCTTTTTATTTGAATCAACGTACCGTTGATAAACTTCACAGAACGGTTTGCAGGCGTTCTTTTGACATTTCCCTTTTTCACCAGTTGTAATTGTTTCGTGGACCCATTTCCAATTTTCATAACGGCTTGGGGTCTTGTATTTTATGTACAAGAGAGGAATTTAAAGAGTCATTTCATGTAAAATGAATGAAACGCTCTTTCTCCTCCTGCCTTTTTTTAATCGCCAAATGTTCCCTTCGTTCGACCCCGCAGTGATTATAAACTACAGAGGTGCAGCAAACATTTTTTATCTTTCAACAAACCGTTGTAATTCTTAGCCCTAGTCTGAACCTAAGACAATCAGTCTTTTGGCGCATTGCAATGGTTTATATACGTTAGCAGTCCTTTTCTTAATCATGAGGTTAATTGCATATAAGATAATTAAAACTTTCTGGTTCTGGCCTCTGCTGAGCTCATAATATAATTATTCATGTACCAGTTGTTTCTAAAGTAGTAGTGCCTGTCACAATTTTTGTTTTATTAACAAGGCGTAATAGAACATGTTGGGAGCGTTCTGTGTATTATTTTAGAGGCTTTACCTCTGGTAGCATTTTTAAAGGCGACGAATATTATTCCGTGTCACACTCTAGTTCATTTGTTGACCAGCGGGGCGAAAACCTGAACAGGAAGCCTCTGTCAATCACTTGCACCTTACAATTAAGGGGCAGTGTCCGGATGTTTTCCTATCAGCCGCGAGCAGCTTCGTACTTCATACGATTCTCACCATGTTATAAACACATCGGTTCGATATCAATCACACCTTCGATCCTCAGAGCAAAAAATTAAACTAGAAAAACATTGGTGGACGTTTATCACTTTTGCCTTTTCCCATAAAGTATCCGGGAAATACTTCGGCAGTTCTAAATAAATAAATAGACACCTTTATTTAAAATTACAAATCTACAGGTAAATTTTCAGGGTAGTCCCTTCAGGGAGCTTACAAAAGCATCTCCGCTATCAATAGGAGCCCTGAAGCTATTACCTAGCATAGAATACACAATAAATAGATATACACCAAAATAAGAACATAAATAGAGTAAAGTATATTACAACAAATATCAAAAGCCTGTAACTACTATAGTAATATCTTGAAACAGTTAATGTAAATTCGAGAATGCATCGAACATATTCTGTAAGATTCAATGAAGTTAAATAACCTGGCCATCTCCATTCAGGATTTTATCAGTAAGCTACACATTAAATACAAGCTTGAAAATTTGTCTTAATTAAATGTTTTAGTCAGAAGTACTCCTCCCTCCTCAAAGTCAATATACAGTATAACGTATTGTAAGTAACTGTATGTACAGCAAGTAACGTAAGTAGAGTATTATATTGTTAGCAG